GGGAGTTGGGTGATAGTAGTGTCTGTATTGGTAGCTGTAACAAAGAATACGAGTTGGTGGTCTTCATTGCGTACACACCTAAAACCGCATCACCCCTCTCTCTCTCTCTTTGTCTCTCTCTCTTTCTCTCTCTCTCTCTCTCTGTGGCGGACATGCAAGATCCGTGATGAGCTTGGGCTATCAGTCGCTAGGTTGGGTCAGATAGAGTGTGACTAATTGCCGACCTCTTCGACACGTGGCTTATTTTTGCTAGTCCACGTATTTTACGCCAATCAATCCCTCATGATCGCGCGCGAAAGGCGAAAGACCTTATCTTGTTGGACCGGCTGCTATTCGTTATACTGGCAACTCATCAAGTGAACAGTCAGCTCACGAGAGCGGGAGTTGGTGATAGATATCAGGTTTCTTTCTCATCCACATGGGCGTGAGTTGTTGATGAGCCATGGCAACTTTCGTCTCTGATCCACGTGGCACGAGTTAATGAGCTGCCACGTGGAGTCAATTGATGAGAATCCGTACCTGGTCTATTTCTTGTCCACGTGGCGTCAGTTGATGAGCAGCCGTATCTGGTCTGTTTCTTGTCCGGGCGGCCTGTACTCAAGTTTTTCTTTCTGATCTACGTGGCGTCTCACCTGCCGGCATATGTTTTTTTTTTTTTTTTTTTTTTTTCCCCGAACTTGAGCGCAAGGGCCGGGCATATTTTTATATCTCTCTCTCTCTCTCTCTCTGCCTACGGTTTACTGGGCAGTTCTGTTTGCGGCGATATATACGATGCATATCGTCACAAACACAACTGCCCGGTAAACCGTAGGCAGAGAGAGAGAAGAGGACAACAAACGAGGGGCTGTGACAAACTGTTATATATATACTGAAGGAGAAAGTTAGCCGGGTGAGGTGGAGGACAAAAAATACACTGATAATTGTAGTTAACAGTGACGGAAAATGCGAGGGGATTTATTTATTTATTATTTTTATTATAACTTTTTGTTGAGTTGGGCCGACGAATCCCGTGTGCGCGGGAACGGAAATGAACAGCTTGGCAGGATGACGATGACCTGGAAATCCAATTAACCAGTCGGTCATTGTTTTTTTTTTTTTTTTTTTTTTTTGGTTAATGCTAAAGGGGCAACGGCCTTGAGATATCATCATTGAACTGACCGGCCCCAAGGGAATCCAGATTTGTGTTGTTCCTTTCATCGGGCTGCATCTGGATTCGAACTTGGGTCTGATTCATATTTCAACAGTTCATGGGTGTGGACCCCACTGAGCTAGACGCGTTGGTAACGGGTCGGTCAGTCGTTGGTAAACGGGTCTGTTGTGTGATGATGACTAGAATTGGATCTCTCTGAAGGTGGCAATCAATCCACTGTGGGCGGCTGCTGGATGGGGGGACCACCAGGATTGTCGGCACGTAGATTGCCAGCTCGCTCAGAATGGATTTGTGTCCGATGTCCTCCGAGAGGCACAGTCGAGAGGAGGGAGGAAGGGAACGGTGGATCGATAAGGAGTGGCCAAATTACAGTATTAGCCAAAAATTATCGAATGACATCGCTGCAGCCGTTCTTTTTTCCACAGTGATCTTTCAGCCTCGCCCACTTTCATTGATTGCATATGCCGCCTTGATCAAGTGCGATGATCGAGGGAGGCAAAATGCAGGATGCCGCTCTCCCATTTCCAGATCGCCTTTCCCACCCGGCGGTGCATTTTTCTTCTTCCCCTTCCCCTTCCCCTTCCCCTTCCCCTTCCCGTTCCCCTTCTTCCCCTTCCCCTTCCCCTCCCCTTCTTCTTCTTCTTCTTCTTGCCAGAGCCACCGGCCAGTTCGGGGCAGCGTTGAAGACGCTGACTGAACAGCCGGTTAAGCTTTTGAAGGGAAGAATCGCAAGAGGAGAGGCAGGGAGTAGAGAGAGGCAGGGATAGGGAAACAGTAGAGGGGAATGTAGGGCAGTAGTAGTAGACAGCGGCGTCCCGGTCCCCGCTTAGGACCGGGTTGTACACTAGGTACGTGCGAGGGTCAAGAGCAGAACGGGGATGAGAGGGGTAGTCCCCGGTCCCGAGCGCTGGGAACCGGGCTGTATGCTAAGATTGCATGGGAATGTTCGTGGGCTGTCAAAGGTAGGGGTAGGGGGAGTGGTGCAGCACAGTCGGGGGGAAAAACGGGGTAACAGGGAAGACACGGGGGAGGGATAGCAGGGTAGGCTAGTAGTAGGCAGCTTGACGTTGAGTAGTTAGGAAAGAGGCCGAAATAGACGCGGGCCAGCAGGGCCGGAACTGAGTGGCTGGGGGTAATCCAGATTCGCTGGTACCTAGAGGATAGAGCTGACCAGGTGCGGGAAAAAGCAAGGCCAGTACCTGGCGCTGAGAGAGGCGCACACGGGAGGTTGGCGGGAAGAAGGGGCTAGCGTCTGAGCTTGCCAAGTCAGTTACGGGCGAGCCGAGTCGGCGCCCGCCCAGTCAGTTGCAGAGTGCGGTGCGGACGTGAAGAGAGTGTGTCAGGTATATGTACTGAGGGCAGGGCCAGAAAGGCCCTCTTTGCTCTGGACGGTATGCTACGGTGGATGCGGGAGTGTGGGAAGCCCCTTGATAAGTCCTGGTGCGCAGCCAGGCGAAACGCGTCGGGGAATGTGCGCGTTGAGCTGTTGAAGTCCGTGAAGGTGCTCCCTTGCATATCTTTGTGACATGGACGCATAGCGATTGGCCTCGCTATTTCAATTCAATTTCAATTCTTCTTCTTCTTCTTCTCCATCCCCCGGTGTCGTCCTCCCACTCACCTCCCAATTGATTTCCTCTTCCTCCTCCCATGACCCTTCTCCTCCATGCGGTTGCCACGCGCCCTCTTTCTTCTTCTTCTTCTTCTTTTCTTTTTTCCCCCTCTCCCATCTCCATCCCCGGTCGTCATCCTCCCCCTCCCCTCCCCAATCGAGATCTTCCTCCTCCTCCTCCCGAATCCCTCGTCCTTCATGCGGTTGACACATGGCCGCGTGCTTTTTTTCCGTTCTTCTGAGGATCTTCTTCTTCTTCGTCTTTTTCGTCTTGTTCGAATATCTCTCCTCTTCCTTACTCTATCCTCCCTCCTCCTCCTCCTGTTCCCCTCCCCCATCGATCTCCAGCTCCGCTCCTACCTCTCCTCCTCCCCCGTCGTGAGTGTGGTTACCACATGTCCCGCGGCCCTTGGACGCTGTCGTCACGTGGCAGCCGCCTTTTTTATTTTATGTTTCAAACCTTGTTTTTTATTCTTCGATCATCTTTATCTT